AGAAATGGCAAGAAGAACGCCATTAACACGAGGAGCGAAGACATTTAACGTTCTCGCAACTTCGCTAAACGACAAGCGTAAAAGAAAAAGTCCAGTAAATTGTGAAACGGGTTCTGCTACCGTTTGAACGAAGAAAAACTTGGCCCGGAGAATTACAACGGCGAGGATCAGTCGGATTCGCAGTTACAGAACGGTGCAACTTTTACGACGAGTTGCACGACGGGGAGTTGAAATGTGGTGATCGTTGTCGCGATCCGGCCATCGTCGTTGATCTAGTTCCCACAACGGAACGTGACGTTTCGTTAATTACTCATTAGGGACGGAATGCAACAGTCCGGGATCAGATAACGGGTTACCGCAGCGGTTAGCGATTATACATAGTCATAATGGAACTATGTACCGTCTTACTGGCGGCCGGCGGGCTGTTACGCGGACATAATGTCCTTTGAGAGGCGATAAGTTGTCCTGCCGGGATGTCGCCTGAACGAGGAGATACCGTAAAAGCGAAATGCCCGATAACGTTTGCCGGGCCACGCGGAAATGGAAAACGAGTCTCGCGAAACGGCGGGAAAGAAAGGTCCGACGATAGTCGAACGATGTATCGGAAAGTTAGAAAAAAAGTCAAAATTCCTTTTCCCGCGTCTGTCTGAACCAGATACTCGAAAAGGTTCCAAAAATAATTGCCTCGAACCGATCGATCGATTTTAGTTAAAGGAAAAAGACCAGGTGGTTTCTGAACGTGAAAATCCGCGTAAATTATGGCAAGCCCCGTTGCTGAATACGTAAGAAGGAACACGGGGTTTGAATTTAAGACCGAATGGTGTTTGATACTCGGCGTAGAAATAGTTTCCTGACGGCTGAAATTTCCATAGCGTGCATAATATTCGGCGAACATTATTCGTTATGGCCGAAGCGTTCGTGCGAATTGTAGAATCGCGTTGGCTGTAATTTTCGTTGAAGTTACACGCGAAATAATTGAAGTTGTACACATTTCGACCCGTACACGTTATTTCACACGGACTACCGATACACGTACACGTGTTTCAACTAGCGTTCCTTATTTCACTCGACGTTGATACACCGGTCAACGGTAGCCACTCTAATTTCGCGTGAATTTAAACATTAAAAGACTTATTTTCAATTAAAATTTTCCATCGATGAGCAAAATGTGTCGATGATTAAGACGTTTGGCGTGTGCGTCTGCCAATCAAACTTGGCCGGAAACGGAACTACGTCGAACGCGGGCGTCATTAAAGCCGCGCGAAACTTTAAATTAAACTTAAGACGTCTAATATTGTCAGCCGCCGGGTGGAGCAAAGAGGAGTTGCCGGCGTTGCTCGTAATTAAAAATCATCGAGGCAATGCACAGTGCAATTACGGGGGAAGCCTCGAGACGAGAATATGCGATTCGCACGATCGGGAACCGTTATGGCAGAGTGAACGATAAACTCTTTGAAGGCTGCACCGTCGTGGGTTCCGTTCGATCCGAAAAATCTGCAAACCAACGAGCTCTTCCCTCTCCGACTCGCAAATGAATCGTTCTCCGATTATATGCCCCGCAAATTCAATCGTTTGTCCCGCGAAACAGCGACGATGTACTTTGATTCCTACGCTTTGAGAGTTGATAAATGGACCCGGTTAGCTGCTTTGACATCCAGCAGCAGGTTAAATACCGTTGTTCGATGATAGCTCCGCGGGAAAAAAAGGAAAAGAGGAAATATTCAGTGGCGTCGGACGGATGCAGTCGTAACGAGTCATTTGTTCGCGTACAACGGTTTCCACTAAACGTTTGCGGGCAGCTTTAAAAATATCAACGCGATGCAGAGCACAGGGCTAACAAAATTTTGTTGGTATCGAGCCAAAAGTTTATCGGGGTGCAAAAACCTTGAAAAGTATCCTCCATCCGAGAACAGCTTGTACTTTTTAAACACACGCCCCATTGTTATTATTCTATAAGTTGCTTAGAAAATTGATAAATAAGGTTTCCCATTAGCGCGTAAGTCGGAGCGGGGCTCTGCGTTGCGGTATTCATGTAGTTTGGGAACTTAATAGGTGTACAATGAGTAATAGGATTACTTACCGTGAACAAGAGATCGCAGCTATTGCGTATCTGTTTATTGTTAACATGTCGGTAGAAAGTATCTTCGAATTTAGTTAGTATTTGTCTTGCACGCTCGTACCAAACGAGATATTTAACAGAAATTTGCCACTTGTGATATAATCGATCCTCAACGATCGTGAAATAGTTAAAATACTGCTTCCTATACAAAATATGCAGTTTCATTTTTCTGATGCATCGTTGCATTTATAAAAAAGAAAGCAAAGTCGTGGGAGAACAGACACTACGTACGTCGCTAAATTTTGGTTACAACCCGTCCCATTTGCGTGGATTGGCCCGCGCAGAGGCAACATAGAAAATATTCGGTTGGCCGTGGATCTTCCTGAAATAGCACGGAAACGAAGCGTCTTTATCGACAAACTATTCCGCGCCAACGTTGGCGAGCCGAGGCTACATTTGTGGCGGTTCCGTGGGTGTCTTGCAGTGAGCAGATCCATTTCTCCCGTGCAAGAACAAGTGGTTGATACGATATCAAGGGACTCGAGAACACACACAAGACAAATTTCCGCCGTGACTGCTCCCTCGCAGCGGAGCGTATCGAGAGCTCTTCTGGAACGACTTCTTTCTCCATAGAACGCGCAGACATTTCGCACTCCGTGCCGTCTGATTCTCCCAGCCACGAATAAACGCGAAAAGATAATGTCGAGAAAGGGTCATTATAGTCGCTCGTCCGAAAAGAAACATTTTTATACAACGCGCGTCTGCACTCGAGCCTCAACCATGGAGTCATATTTTTACTAAATGTTTTTGATGATCTTATCGACTTAAAACACCACCAAATTTTTAAGCGACTGGACATTCGATATTTCAGAAATTTTCAAAGAACTCGACTTTCTCGCGCGGAGACGCGTTAAGTCTCCTATTTATTTCGACGAACCACAACCTGTTGACGATCTCAAATTCCCGTTATCGGAGAGACGCAGCCTGATTTGCGCTCCAGCGTCACCGAAAATTGGGTTTATCGTATTCGCTCCAACGCGTTCGCGAGGGCCATTTAAACGATAGTGCATTTCACGCGTAATTTCACCGAAAGTATATCGAAATAGTATAACGATCGTTTCGATTCAGAGTCCTGTCCGTCGAAACGAGTTTGATTTCTCGTTCGAATACCTAAAGGCCAGGGACAGGGACCCAGAGGCCACGCACGGGGCCTTTTCTCGTGGCTCTGGATCCCCGTTTTCACGATATGCGATCGCGCTGTGCCCTGTACGCGGGATAAAAGCGAGCGCAGGTCGAGGAAAATGCGACACGGTGAAACTGAAGCCGCTGATGAAAACCACGATTAGGTAACTCGAGCGGGAGTACTATCCACGCGAAGTCGCCGCGGTAATTAAACTCTTTGTCGCACTTCGTCGAGATCGAGCACCGCTACCATCGTTCTCGTTACAAAAGGGTTGGAAACAAAATAGAGAGAACCGTAGAGAACGGAAAACAGATGGGAAAAATATTCGAACGGGTCAGAGAAGCGGCGCAAAAATGACTCTGCAAGGGGTGCAAGTTAATACGTGGGAAACGTTTCGCCGCTTACAGGCAACCGAATAAGTTTCAGTAAACGTATTTTCCCCTGTTCGTTATTCGTACACGATTTTGTGTCTGGAAAACCGGATATTCGAATGCTTACAGACTGACGATTCAAAAAATCAAACAAAATTTATGTTACATAGCTTTAATTTATGATTTCTAACGCATCGTACAAACGTAAAGTGGTCTCGTTTTGACCCATCCGACCGAGAGCGCGGTACTCGTGTTACTTTGTTCTGTTTCGTCGAATAAATTTAACTACGCCCGTATTAGCCTACTTCTCTTATATTCCGCAGTGAATAATGCACGTCCGGGGGCAATAGAGTCGTCGGCTTTGGGAATTCGACCGCGATCAGTTATCATCGATGCACACGCGAGCCAAATCCGCGGAATCGTTAGTTCCGTACAGTCGAGGTAGCCCTTGGTTCCCGTGAAACTTGTAATTCGCTTCGATCCGTTCGGACGCGTAAAAATTAATTTCCCGGCCCGGCGTGAGTAACGACCGACACGCAGAGAGAAATCGACTTTAAAAAAGTTTTTTCCCGGGGACGTTCTCAGGCTTAAACGCGACGACTGGCCGGAAGAAGGAAAGTTGGGCTTGATTTGTGATGGCGTATTTGCGCGAAAGGTGATAAGAACGGTCAGGGAACGTTTGCAGCCTAAACGCGGTCGTGGGTGACGAGTCCGACTCGCCGGAGGTTCTAATATATTGAAATCAACTACGAACAATTAAACTTTCCAATATAATTTCATTCGACGAACCCGTCTGTTTAACGCCGCGATGTTTTACCAACGTTCTACGCGCTTGCACATTCCACAGAATATTTACGAGCCATTCCGGGCCTGTGTTTACGAGACAATCCACCATCAACAAAATCTATCGCTCCTTTTTCCCCGATGGTACGGTGTTCTTGAAACTACTATTGGAGGTATCCGAAAAAATTCAACTTTCATCTATGGGGAGAAAGCCAGCGATACATTTTTATTGGACGAATCGGGAATCGGCTAACTTTTATTTCGAATTTCCGTGTTTTTGAACGTCCCTCGCCCGAGCACCGTGCTCGATGAAATTTATACGTACACGCCGTATAAACAGGATTGTGATACGCAAAGCAAACGAGAAACAAATAGCTTTTTGGTATTAATTTAGCGGAAGAGCGGGACGCGTGCAGAATATAACGATACGAAGCGTACGCGAATCGTGTGGGAACAATTAGCTCGCGTGCTCTCGCTCGACTCGCGATTGACGCGTACGCGTTTGGCAAAGATAACAATGCGTTTCCGGGATCCGGAGAAGTCGCGTGTGTGCGCTTGCATAAATATATGTATATATATAATATATATATATACAGATATGTACCTGGCAGCGTGGGATTCGTCGCAGAGGCGTCCTGGCGCGTGGCGTCGCTGATAATTGCAGCCCTGCCGAGATTGGTACAGTCTTCGAGAAGTACGCAGTACAGTAATAGCCGTGCCACCCTCATTCTGAAAGTGGAAGGAAAAGAAACCTGAACAATAATAATGACTCCCTCTTTCTCTCTTTCCCCCCCCCCCTCGTCCACCCCCTTTTCTCTTCTAGTTTCCACCCGTACACCCCCCTCACTCCCCCCTACCACCGAGCTTCTTTTTCTGGTTATTTCTTTCCAACCGTACCCCCTTCCACGACATCCCGAAACCACTCGTTCGTTTTTTATCATTTCCTTTATCCTCTTCTTTTCTCAATCGATACGTTTGTCATGCGACGTACAACCGGCTGTTCCAAGTTCGCGCAATTTCGCGTAATGTACGTGGCACTGCGCCGTAGATCGGTTACACGGTATCGGGTCTTTGCTCGTACATTCCCGCACGCCTGTTCCACCGACCAAGGAAACGCAGGACAATTATCCTTTACGCCGTCTCGTAAATAACTATTCCCGGGCCATTTAGGAGCCTGTGATTTCCGCCGGCGCGAACGGAATTTAACAGCCCCCGCGTACGCCGCCCCCCGGATCGCCATTTTTTAGGATAGAAAAATGCGTTTTGGCGCCAGAAATCACGTTGATTTTCACAAAATTGCCTAAGAATTTCACAGCGGAATAATATCGTAATTTTTGTATTGCTTTAAACGACTCTGTAGGTAACAATAAAAAGCAAGTCTCTATTCTCTGAATACTCGAGGCAAAAATATCGAGCGAAACAAATTAAAATTGAGTTCACGTTGATTCCAAACGACGGGGAATCTAATGACACAGAGCGAAAGAAATTTACGCGCTTCGTGTTCGAAAAAATGTTCCCCCGGAAAGAAATTAATGATCCTTGGCGCTTCCAGGAGGAACCAAAGAAGCGTCGGGGAACTATGTTCTCCGTGAAATGAAACAACTTCTGCCGCGAACATTCTTTTCCATCTTTAAAAATAAACGAGTTGCCCAGGTGACCCGTCTTAAATGCCCCACCCTCTGTGTGTACATAGATATACATGTGCACGCGTATAACGCGGAGCAACTGCTCCTTCTTATTTACGACAGGACTAAATGAAAAGTCGCTCTTTCTTTGTCCCGTGTACTCCGGGAGCGCGCTATCCTCCCCAGAAGCGTCTTCCTTTTTTTTCCTGCTGGACGCCCAAACACACACACAAACACACACACACACACACACGCACACGTACGCTCGATCCTTTTTCCTCCGTTCCGCGGCGATGTCAGATTAGAAGCTCTTTGTCTTATCTCGTCGACGCGTGATCGATGATTTCGCTGAAGGAGGACCGAGCGAACGGGATCCCTCGGAGAAATCTCCCCGATTTCGATGGACGGCCGCGGAAAGAAAAATCCAGACCCTGAATATCGCGTCCCGGGGAAGATCCTTGAAAAATTCCCGCACCCTCGTCGAAACGCGATGGCCGGACTTATCGCGAGACGCCCCATCGCGGTGGTTCTTAATCTGCGGTCCCAAAATGCCACTACCCCATAAACTCGCACGTAGAAATTTTAAAGATTTATGTTTCCTCGACATACACGTTCAAAGGAATTATAATCTTTCTTGCGCGAACTAAAACGGAGTTGATGTCGTGCTTTTGATCGCTAGTGTACTTAAGAAGCTTATTATGTCTGGAAAAGGGACAGTAATTAATACGACAGTAACGTCGAAAACGATTAAAATTCGCATTTAATAATGAATCCTCTTAAAGTGTTCTTATTCGGACTATTTCTAATTATACACAGTAGAAGATTTTTTCAGCAATAATTCGTGTGATCCGTAAAGGTAGGTGGATATGTTATTTTTCTCTCGAATATTCGATATTTTTTAATTCGTTTAACATACCTAGATGAACATATTTTCAACGTTTCTGTTTGTCTATTTATCCGATCGTTTGTTTTCCCCGTAACTCGAAAACTGCATAACATGTTTCGATACAATTTTATACGCGTTCATACCGCCTTCCATTTTAAGGAATAATCGAACAAAATTTCTAATGCAGAGCACATCTAATTCTAACGAATTTTTAATCATCATTCGCGCGAGAAACGACGAAAAAACTTGGCCGATCGACAAATATCACCCCCATAAATGTATAAAGGAAAATATGAAACATGTTAATTCGCATCAGTGTTGACGCACGCGGGTCGAATTTTCAACAATCGACGCACAGCTCTTCGCAAAAGTGCTCGAACGCTGGCTGCTGAAATTTTAAACGATCAAAATAACATTTTTAAATTGCTGGAACATGGAATTAGGTAGAAAGTTTAAAGGAGACGTTCGTCGAGAATTCTGTGATAGGATTTTACAAAACAATGTAGACGGTAGAATCTCGGGTAAGGAATCTTTTCACTGTCCGTTTCCGAGGGACCCGTTATGGGTTCGATTAGTCGGGCAGAGCCTCGAATCGCGATAACGAAGTCCCGATTTTTTGTCATAAAGCGAGGCATTACCCCGATCCGTCGAGTTTCAGCCAGCAGAGTTGTGTTAATTTACGCTTCTTGGAGCTTCTAATTTCGAACTTTCGATCCCGGTTAGTCACTTCGCGCTCGTTTTACGAGGTGAAACGACGACGAGGAAATCCGATTTTCGTCCCTATTGAAAGCTCCTTCGGGCAGATTGGTAGTAGAAGGATCCGGGTGTGGGGGATTATCACTTTTCGAAGAGAAATTCCATTTCCGACCCTCTTCCGTGTGTTTACCGCGATGAACTGTTTGCCCGCAAACATTGTCTCTTCGGGAAAAGAATCGCGCAAACGTTATGACCGATTTAAAAGCCTCGTCGACGAAGCAGTCGGAAGTACCTTTGCAAGCGACGGAGAACCTCCAGCGCCGGAGAATACGAAAAAAAGAAGGAAACTTAATGGCTCGCTCGGCATTGTACTGGAAATGAGTTGATCTCGATTCAACAGGGGCCAAGTCCGACTTCCGTGGAGAACGTCTTTCCTCGATGATTTACTAATCCCAAAAAAAAAAGAGAGAAAAATGGAATTCCTCGTTTTGTCCTCGTTACGCTGAAACGGCGGGAAGCGCGGCTTAAATTCCAGGAAACTAAGGAATTTTAACGACTGATACCGTTTCCGGAGGGGCCATCGGATAATCAAGGAAAATGCAAACTCGTAATTTTTCCGCGCTCCCTCGAGATCAGGCTGCCAGTCATTAATTACGAGTATTAGACGGACGATCGATCCGAAGGTTGATCGTTTCATTCCCCCTTCCTCGAATTCGAATTTCTTGTTTCAACAATAACAACTGTTTTATCAACATTCTTTCGTAGTCGCGAACTTCGTTCCATTAATGACGACTAAATGCACGGTAAAAGCATTCTTTGGTATTTTTATTAAATTGTGCGCTTAATATTTATTGACGTTGACAGCACTGTAATGGTTATTTTATAATGACGCAGTAAACTCGCGAATAACGCGCACGCCGCGACGAAAGTGAAAAGTTCAGGAATTAACATAGACAGCGATTCCGGTGATGGGATTTTCGAAAAGTTATAAATACATTAGTATTAACTTAATGCATGAATGTTGTTAAACCTGTTATTATGTTTTCCGTTACATTGTAAAGCACTTGCACATTGATACACAGTAATTGGAACGCGTATAATCGAATACTCGGACATCGGAGAATCGTTCATTAAGCATTCAATTATAAAACAAACTAATATTATTACAGAAAATGTAAATGATACTGCTCGTACGTCATAAAACGCACCATAATCTCGTATTATAATTTGAACAAAACGCAACGTCCAGCGTTACGTGCAATTTGGCGGAAATATATCTCGAATAAAAGTTCGTTCTAAATTTCCAGAGAATTAATACGAGTACAAAGGTGCGGATAATTCAATCAAAAAGAAGTGGGCGGAGATAAGAAACTAAACTCCCGGAAGAATATCCATTACCATACCATTTAACTTTTCCCTCCACTTTTTTTCTCTCTCTCTTTTTCCATCTCCCACCAAATTTTAGATACAACCCGTATGCTCGACTCCCGGTTGCAGTAGATTTCGCGCATAAATTAATTAAAACTTCCCCCTTTTTAACATATAATAACGTCGAATAACTCCGGACGAGCACGCTATCTGTGATTTATGGGACTTAAAGTTGGGACGATGTCGTATGGAATCGTCGGGACAGAAAGGGTTAATCACTGGTTCGAATTACAGTAGCTCCGATTTTCGCATAATCGTGGATCTTGGCAGTCCCGGGCGCGTAACTTTCCGTTCGGTTCCATGATTATCGGGAACTCTACACCGCGAATTTCCTCTTTCCCGCGAGAGATACCCGGCTCCACGAACACCGCGAATATTTAATTTCCCTCTATGCCTTTGTTCCATCTCCGCGTTTTCAAAGAGATCTACGTCGCGCGTCGTCGGTGTGTTTCAGCGTGCAAGCGATTACACGTATCCACGGAAGATTTATAGGAGCGATCGTTCCTCTATCCGGCCCGTTTAGTCTCTACCTCTTTCATAATCCGAAGAATAATTTTGGAACACTCTACCGCGAAGAAGCGTGTATCATTTGCATACGCGCGGCTATGCAAATACATGGGGCTATTCTCCGGGGAAACAGATTAATTATCTACGATGCTCGCTCGAAAGCTACTGTCCGTTTTTGCGAAACAACTCCGCCGGTCTGAGTGCGACGATTACAAACGTTACACCGGAGAAATACGGCTGTCCGATTAACCCTTTTAGGCGCCATTGTCCCACTTACGGGGCATTCGAAGAAACACTTTTTACCGGCGTTCGAATTAACGGGAATTTAATATGATTCCTAAAGTGGCATTAAAAACGGCGCGAAACGAGCCGCAATTTTTTTGATAACCTTCCGACTAATATATCGCGAATAAAAAAGTTATATTACGCTCGGCTATAATTTACCTGGTATTGAAATTTATTTGAATTTTCCGGAGATTTTTCAAGTTTCGAATTAAGACTCGCGCCAAGTACAGCGCGATCTTTTGATAACGTTTCGAGGGATATATTGCAAAAATTATATTACATTCAGGTATAATTCACCTGGTATTGAAATTTATGTGAATTTTCCGGAGATCTCTTAAGTTTGAAATTAAGAGAGACTTTACTTGATTTTGACATAATAAAATAAAGCAATAACGAAAGTGTAAACTCGAAAATTTGGACAGTGTGCTGTCGAAAGTATGTTTCTTTTTATTTCCACTAAATTATGTCATAAGTGCTTTTTGCTGTGAAGGCAAGTGTAAGTAGGATATCGTATATTTTATACGTGAGTTGGCGCCCCCGACACCCCCACCCTCTTTCTGGCAGAAATTTTGCGACGTCATGTAGCAGATATTTTATGTTGGTCTACTTTAGGTGGACGTTCTGATCGCGATCCCTCGTTTTCACGCCACTCGGTAGACACAGCTAAACTTTATTCATAATTGTTTAGTACTTACCCCCTTTTAGTAGAGGTACGATGACAAATAGCCTACCTTGTTCCCTGATACATACGAAATACAATAGACGGACACGAACACGGACAAAAGTACTAAAAATATTACGGTTACAGGCAAAGTTGCAATTTTATTCGTTTTGATTGACATAAATTGTTTACGTTCATGAATCCACTCGCTACGAAGATACAGGACGCGGGTGCCGATCAGATTGTTACGTTTTTTCGATTAAACGTGCAACAATATTTAATCGTTTAAAAAATGGTGAACGCATCGGGGGATCGGAGCGAGACGGAAATTTATTCCAGCAAAATAAGCAAGAGCGGTTGATGGATTTGATTAAACGGACCCGAACGAATCTACTGTACACACGGAGGGTGCTCTTTATGAAGCTGGTACAGCAAATTAAGAATACACGCCGTAAACAGAGCAATAGATGCGTTAAAAGTTCCAATATTTCCCAAATAAAAATAAAATCGTCCGGTTAAAAATTTAGTTGGAAGGCGTCTTGCGAGTCCAGCGGCTGTAACAATTATGTATTCCATCGGAACGAACGTCGCTGGACGGGGAACTCGGATAGAAGACGAATGGGTCTTTATTTCGAGATTATTACTGTCGGGCTTAACGCGCGCGTCGGTCGAAACGATCAATCTTGTTCGCGCAGGAACGTTAAATATAAGGTAAACATTTAAACGAGGCTCTGCCACCACCCCCTTATCCCGTTCTCCCGTAATTTCCCCGGCGGGGGTATCCCATGGTCGGCGCGGAAAGAAGGACAAATGTTACGTAACGTCGCGGATATTAAAATTCGCACACATCCTCTATCGTCGCGCGACGAATCCCCCCGGTCGACGGGGATGGATTTATCAAAGTCAGCGGCAAAGTCGTTAGCCATGGCGAGCATCTACGGTCACCGGTGCGGCAAAAACGCGTCATATACGAATATCATCCGTCTCCGATATTCCGGGCCGGGTGTCCCTTTTTGCGCGGATCCATAAAGAATCGTCCGTTCGTCCTTGGATCGTTCGCGGAACGCGTCCTGTTCCGCTTCCGGCGCGCGTTTGATGCTCGCGGAATTTTCTCGACGCCGACAGGCCACCGGAAAGGCAGTATTTTTCTTGGCGGGATATCCGAAAATTGAATTCGCCCTAACGCGGGGATTATCGTCGAGTTCGATTTTGAAATTGTTATCATAAAATCGATCGACGTACGCGCGGCACCGGGTGCCTGGGAACCCAATTCCCGTCTACCTACGACCCTTATAATTCACTTGGAATTCGGCAGGGAATTCCCGTTGGAAAATATCGCACGCTGATATATCGTCCCGGTGGAAAATCACCGATGGTAATAGTACGTGCGAGCGACCGTGACACGTTTGGTCCTGGCGAAATCCTTTGGGGAACTATCGAATCGGATCTCGCGGCACGGCGATCCATCGATCGAGCCACGCACAAACGGTTCCTGCTGTTTCACGGTCGCCTCGATCGTCCGTGAAAATCCGATCCAGCTTCCCTCCGTGTTATCAAACCCCCGTCCCCGAATCTCTCACCGTGTGTAATTACCTCGCGAGGAAAGTGTAGCATTATATCCGCGAATGAACACGATCCCTCATACGTGTAGAGCGTTTCAAGTGTTTTTCTTGGTACGCGAAACGGCACACTATAACGCACGGATCCGGTGGTCCAAGAGACCCGGTTCCAACGAACGACGCGCGCTACGCTTCCGGCACCGGACGCATCCCCGGGCGTCGAGACGCGTGTACTGACGGCGTCGAGCTAGCCGTCGAGCGGAGTCGAGTGTCGGAATGCTCCGTGACGGGACGCTCGCCTCGCATGGCGCAGGTCCAGGACCTCCGGTCCCTTCTTCTTTCCTCTTTCCACCCCTTTATCTTTCTTGCGCCGGTTCTCCTTCGTTTTCTCCGACGCGTCGTTGGATATGATATTCAATTTATTATGGAGCTTTGATGGCACGCGGATCGTCGCCAACAACGGGGTGAGGGAGAGGTGGTGCACGAACACGCGGAAACGATGGGCTCACGGGAAAATAAACGCCGGATAGCGCGAGTTTCGATGGAAATCTCTGGCGACCGGGAGGACGCGTCCTACCTCGACTCTCGTTACTCCCTTGCTCGGTGAAAAATCTCTCGATGCCCAAATATGCGAGTCTCGAAACGAATCTTGGAATTATCGCGTTTTTGTACGAAAACAATTCCTGTACTAAAAGAAGAACCGAATCGCTCGACCCCGTCACTACTCCGGCTTCCACGTCAAAATCGTCCATCTACTTAGCTACTTTTTACTGGTTTTGTCACCTACTGGTCTATAGTGGAACCTTTGTGACCTCTTGTTGCAAAGTCGCTTTAGATTACAGTAGCTCTTGCAGCTGTTTTACCTGAGGCTACTTAACCCAACTCGACCGTACATTTAGCTCCCACTTGACGCTTCAACAGTAGGCGATGAAATTTTTTTCTTTTGAGACGTCCAAAGTAGTTCGAGCATTAACTTGCATCGAAATAAATATCTCGTAGAACGACCTGAATTAACATTTTGGTCCTCCTTAAAACTTATTCTAATCCAGAGGGGTTCCGAAAATTGGTGGTTATTAATTTTATAGGAAGCTTCCATGGCGACCTTGACGTTGTCGAGAACACTCCACCGAGGAACCCCTAATAGACTTTAGCCGTCGTTTAATATTGTTTACTTCATTTCAAACTAAATTATCGCGTCATAATTAAAGGGCAGGTTAGGTTAAATTACCCCGGGTTCGGTGCCCGTGTATCCCGTAAATGTTTAATTTTAATTGTGCGACCGAATAAATTGTGTCGAATATACATTCGTGTTCATAATAAATTCACGATTGTTTTCGTCCGAGCAGATAGAAATTAGCAGTAATTTCGAAAAACTTATTAACACGATCTGCATAATCACCGTTCAAATATAAACTCGGTCAGATAGTGCCGGGTAATGGTTTTCACGTGTACCCGAAACGAGGTATTCCATTTCGTGTGTCACGCCACAATCGCTCAATGTTTTGAGTGTGGACTCCATCGGGATTCGTAAAGTTCTGAGAATGGTTTACCGTTTCATGGAAATAATTCCCTTGCCGTGAAATACGAGGCAAACTTTTCTGTTTCTTTTTACGAGCAAACGGGTCCAAGATACGACCCGTGTAATATTTTCAATAATTAATTCACCCTTTATCGATACCGTGAAACGAAGTTAGCTCGATGTTTAACGCGTTATTGTTACGCTACAAAGGCGAAGTAGAAAATAGCGCACGCGAGACAAAAATGTTGCCCAGCAAAAGTAGTCAAAGGCGAACATATTGGTAAAAAGAAAACTCCTGAGCGAGTTCATTTTTATATTATTTTTCCTTTTTTCGTTATTCTTTTACTTTCGTAGTATATGAACATCATTACTGGACGCGGTCGCATTTATTTTCATCTCTGGAGAAAGAAACCGTTGTATGTGCTCGCTAAAATTTCTGTCTTACGTTAACAATGACCTACTTCGCCTTTGTAACATTGTCTTTAATATAATTCCTATAGTGTTGCGTTGAATAGAATTACAAAAGTGATACGATTCGAGCAGACTATTTCTATTACATTTTCAAGTAAACTAAGAGATCTTTGACTACCAACAAAGTCAGGCTATCGATGACGTTTAGAGAGTAGGATTGGAACGTTTTCTGAAAAGATGGAGGAAGAAACGAGGGAATATTACGAAATAATAACTCCGAAACTCGTAGCGTTTCGACAGATGTAAAACTAGCGACAGAAGCGGGGTACATATTTTAGCGACGGCGACGGTATGGTACCTGCAAAATCTGGAGGTGTTAATAATAAATAGATTATCCCTTCGTCGCTGCCGGAAGCATATTAACGCGGAGAAAAAGCAGCAGCTCTTAAACGTCAATTTCGAGAATTCGAATTGAATGCGGCGGCGGTTCATTGGGGTGGAAAACTTGTTCCCACCCTAACGGGTACAAATGTAATTACCGATAGAATCCCTGTAATCGTTACGGGCAGAGATGTTAAACAGATGTTTCGAGCGTAGTCGTCAGACGATGGAACGGGTCGAAAACAAACCAACGAGCTTTGTGAAATTCCGAACGATTAGTCTCTTGATAAAATAAATCCTGCGCGACGCGACACAACCGTGACCAACATTAGTATGCTTGCATAGATAAAAAATTGTCTCAAATAGTTCTTTCATCGATCGAACAGAGTTTTCGAAGCTTTTTATTTGCAATTTACAAAAGTATGGATGATCTTTCGTCGTGCAACTTTCCTCCCCGACATTTTCACTCGTCTTCTATTCTAATAGATACACTTAGGCGTTGTATCGCGACTCGCCCTTTACAGGCTGTAATTGAAAGGCACGGTCAAACTTCCAGGAAACATTCCTTAGACCTAGAGGGTGGAAAATGGTACACGAATAGAGGTCTCGAAACGTTTCCTTCTGAAAACGTTTACGAATTATCAGCAATTACGAACAGTTCTGCAAACTACATCTTCCAGAGTCGCGAAACTTTGATCTCTCAAATTAATAAATAAACTGTTCGCTGTAACGCGTAATAATAAAATTCAGATTCGGGTCAAGTTGGGGAACGATTAAACGCTGATATTAATAGTTAAACTTCCGAAATTATCTTGGTTAGAAAAACCCGGGGAAACAATCAGCAGTTTTTTGAGCCGCAGGTACGATAAGAAATGTTGGAAATGTCAGCACGGATACTACGTAAATAGATTATCAGAAAAAGAGCTCTAACGAGGAAACGAAGCGTTACCGGATTTGTGTTCGCATAACGTGCTCTCATCCTCCGAGGTGTAAGGAATGTTTCCTCGAAGTTTAAACGTACTTTTCAGATACGATCTATACATATGCAGAGTGTTCGGCAATTAAAAAATTTCAAATCGTTCTGGAAAAATTATTTTTGACTGCGGGGGTTAATTACAATTATTTTCGGTGAATAGACATATCCCCGAAATCCTACGCACTTTCGAGAAAAAAATTCAAGTGGGTGTGAAATTTTCGACGAAAATAAAAAATTTCAAATCGTTCTGGAAAAATTATTTTTGACTGCGGGGGTTAATTACAATTATTTTTGGTGAACAGACATATCCCCGAAATCCTGACCATATTCGAGAAAAAAATTCGTGTAGGTGTGAAATTTTTCGACGAAAATAAAAAATTTCAAATCGTTCTGGAAAAATTATTTTTGACTGCGGGGGTTAATTGCAATTATTTTTGGTGAATAGACATACCCATGAAATTCTACGTATTTTCGAGAAAAAAATTCTTTACCGAAAATATACCGAGTGGTCAGAAATGTTTCCCCGAAATTTCATGCGTATGTTTAAAAAGTCATAACTTCTGGACGGATTGGAGGATTTTAATGATTCAAAGTGCAAACAATGCGTATTAATGGAGCTTCGATTCGATAGAAATAAATTCGATGCAAATTGTTGATGCCAAGACGAGTTCGACGACTCTGCTCGATCTATGGGGATATGTGGTACGAATGGATCTGGAGGATGAAATGCACGATCGAGGGACGAGTCTGCGTTCGTCCATAGGTGGAAACCACTTTCAGCGAGATCGGTACGATCTTGATTACGAGACGAGCGACAGAATTTTCGAGCGAGAATTTTTACAGTCTGTTGGCCACCTCCAGGTACCGTTACACTCTACCCGAATGGCGTTTACCTTTCGTACCCGTCGATGGTATGGAATAACATTTGTTTTCTATATACGGAGTTAATGACGAGCAAATATTGATGGAAAAATAATCGGTCCCAAGCGTTTTTACCATTTTGTTTGTAACGAATACTGTCGAACATCCTCGATGCTCGACGCGGAAAACCGTTCGGTCATATTTGCGAATCAACGAATGTTCCATAGAAAAGCAAATACTCGAGTGCTATGGGAGAACGCGCGAAAATAGACGGCTTTTGCAGTCGCTGTCGAACAAATTTTCGAATTCAACCTCGAATCATCCAAGTTCCAGCGACAGTTCGGTGTTAAAAATTATTAGTGACGGATTAACCGAAGAATTTTATTGACCATCCTCGATGCAACGATGACGCATTCGATATTTCTCGATCGTTGTCGGACACTTTGAACGATATAAAATATTGGGTCGAGTTTTAAGTAATTAGGAACCTTATCCCATTACCAAAAACAGCAGAGACACGAAGTTGAAACAGTTCAAAGATCGACGTTTTTACGGCGCGAAATTAGCGGAAATATTTTCCCGAAGAATTTACGGAGGATGATCAGTAAATGGCGACCGCGAGGCGAGCAAAAAGGCGAGCCAGGCGGTTGAATGACGTCGCGAAAGTCGCCGGGATTCGATTCCCGCGGCCCTTTAGGACCCCTTTATATTCCGCGCGGCCACTTTTCGAGCGTTTTACGGAAAACGAGGCACGAAAGAGCGCTTGTAAAACGTAAGTCGAAAATTTATGAGGGAGGAACACTCCTTGGAAGTGGTCTACCTTCTGGCGGCTCCTCAATTATGACAGTGAGAAAAAGTATATACATTAAGGGGATTGCTAGGAGCGGCTGAAACAAGCGCATGCAAAGCGCGGTGCAAAATTGCTGCTTAAGCTGCACCGGGCTAAGATAAATGAAAAAGGTTTAGAAGGCGCCTCGGGAGCGTAAAAAGCCGGGGTTTGACGTCGGCATAGC